CAGATGCACAAGTCTGGCTAGTACAAGCGCAAATAGTAAAAATATACCTAAAAAAATCGAAGAAATAACCAATTTGTATGTGGTATATATTACAGCGTAGAAAAAAACCGAGTATGGCCGTTTCTCGTTCTTATGGCCATTTGTTAATTTACCTATAGACTTACATGTAAACGGTATAAATTGGAAAGATGAGTTGGGCAACGAACACCATACTATAGTGCAGCGACTCTTGATGCACCGGCCCGAGCTGCTGTAAAAAATATGATACAATTTAAGGAGGTTCAGGAGTGTCATGAAAATGCACAGATTTTCATGAAATTGAAAACTATGGTAGAGTATGACGTAACATTGATGTCTGATTTTTTTCAAAATTTTTGACCGCGTAGTTTTGGAGAAATTAATGCGTATAATTAGCATTGTTTTAAATAGACTTCTCGTGTAAATGAGTAAATTGACTTCATCTTATGGGAATAACTTGATGAAAAAAGCACAGATTTTTAATTTGCAAAGACGGTTTGAAAGAGAATTAATCGATGATTGTTTTTATGTGTTTAAACTCATGGCTTACCGTGATTCCGATTAAATAATAGTAATTTTAGTATAAAAATTTTCTAGTTTAATCCAAGCTCACGGTGCTAACTAATGAAGTACGGCAACATCGCATACACTATATCGATATATTTACCGTAGCCGGTATTGCAGAGCAGATACGATTATATTTATTATGAATTGAAATTGAATTAATAAAAAATGATTTAGACGAAACTTATTCAACATTATGATTTTTTTTATTAATTTAAGTTGAATTGAAAATATATTAACGGAATAAATATTTTATTGAAAACGCTTTATTGTCGTTTCAAATAACCAATAAATAATGTACATTAATCTTTGGCATGCAAATAATTTAAATAAATACTGTGAATTCGACGTATAAATTGTAATCAAACTTGAGTTTTTAAAAAATTCAAAATATTCTGAAGTATTTTTTTAGATTTTATGACAGTTTGCTTTCCGTTGTTGCATCCTTCCAGCAGATTCGTTGATGACAACTTAAGAAAAATAAATTTCGAAGTATGCTATGTTACCAGATCGTTACCTCCAATTCATACATACTTTCATAATTCAAATAAAAACATAAAAATTGACGACTAACGCATATTAGAAGTAGATACTCGTGATGAATGTTCAATTCTCATCATTTTTACCAGTTCATACTCATCTAAGTACAATAATACAGAACATTGAATTCAGTTATCTACAGTTTGCGCCACTGATTTCATCCCATGTTAAAGCATAGGCATTTTCCCCTTACCCCAACCCCCCTGGTGACTGACCCGAACCTCCTTAATAGTGAGTACTGATGTTCGAGCTGTGAACACCCTGGCTAAAAATGCCGATCTAGAGGAAAAATGATGCGAGTTGAAAACTATTTATGTCTACCTACAAATATGAATGAAATGAAATATATTCGATGTACTTACCATAAGTTTTATGAGTTATATATTTCTTTAATTATGATGTTGAGAATTGAATTAAAAAAAATTCATATTGTAAAAATGATATCTAGTACATATAATTATTTATAGAATGTCTAAAAAGTTATAGAAAGTTTTGATTTCTTTTTATCATTTTTTGATTAACTTAACTGAAACCGCAATATCTAATAAAATTTTTGTATACCTAATTTTATAAAATTTTTATTCAAACCTAAGCAAATTTTTTCACGTGGGAACTGTTTTAATGTATATTTAATTAATTTTTAGGTTTCCATTATAATTACACATATTTCATACATAATATGTATAAATGTTGTACATAAAGCATATAAAATATGTATGTATTTCATATACATATTTCGGATTCTATGTGCACGAAATATGTACGTATTTTGTACATACTTTGTGCATATTACGTACGTTTTTTGTTCAAATTATTTAAGAGTTCATTTGTACATATTATGTACAAACTTCCTACCTTTATTTCCAGTGGAGACATACTACGTGTATAGCGATTAGGCTTGAACATTTGAACGAGCGTCCAGCATTAAAATCGTAAATAAAATAGTTAATTATTGTAAAATAATAATAAAAATTATTTTTTTTTAATTAACACTAAACTTACCGACGTATTATATATACGTATTTCTACCGAATGGCGGTCAAATAACCGCTTTTGAAATAAACAATTAGTCTTTTCTAGTTGATTGTAATTAATACAGGATTTAGCATCCCGAAAAATAAATGTTAAAAAACATTTATTTTTCGGGCTTTAAGAGCGGTCATTAGTATTAAATAGACATCAAATTCTTACGGAAGATTTGACCCTCTATTTTCAGGAGGATATTAAATAACAATTGATTAGTATACGTTATAAAATGAAAAAAATTTATTTTATAATAATAATTATCATTAATTATTTTATTCAAAAAAATTATTATTTTGTACAAAATTCGTACAATATTTGTACAAATTTTATTCAAGATCTGAATGAGATGTGTATAAAATATGTACAAGTCTTATACAAGTTTTGCATAAGTTTTGTACAAGTTCTGTACAAGTTTTGAACAAATCTACCAATCTTGCACACATTCTTTTAAAATTTTTATACAATTTGCGTATAAGCTTAGTATGTATGAGTATGTTTTCAGTGGGCCGATTGAAATGCTAAAAGATGTCTTTATGCTCAAAATGGTTTTCCGGACGTCATGAATTTGGATAACATAATAATTTTTGATAGCGAAGGATTTGAAATAGTTACTGTAAAAGAAGTATTTTTCACAAATTTAGTGATATTTTCCTACAAATGGTTTCGTCGAGAGTAAATTTATAAAGATTGAAAAAGCGTCTCTCAGCTATGACCAACGAAAAGTTTAACCACGAAAGAAGTAGTTTATGAAATACTTTTCAGATATTGAGCAATCCTTTTAAATAATGGTAAATTTCTACCTAAGTTACATCTCAATCGTCAAATTAAAATTCAACTGGATACTCTAAAACATGCTCAATTTAAAAAAAGACCTGTTCCTGTAAAAGCAGTAGTGGAAACTTGGCACAAATATCAAAAAGTTTCATCGATTACATTATTCATAGTCGAGCTAGACAACTGTTAAAACTCACATCAAAGCAAGTGATCAACCACCGTGTGAAATAATCCAGCAACATGATATATTCAACAAAAGCATCATTTGAACATTGAAGACTTAGCACATTTCCGCAAAAAATAAATGTACCAAATCAAGAAATTCGACAACCAGTTCATGCATAATTAAATTCAGAGCCAGGGAATATTCGAGCAACCAGTATACGATCGTAATCAATGAGCCACCAGTAGACGAAACACGGGTATCTAATAAGCAGTGACAAAAGCCACAGGTGCTTATTTAAAAAATTATGTTAAACGATAATTTTTATTTATTTCAATTTGGTTTCAATCAATCAATTGCATGTTTATATTAAAATATTTATCAAATAAAATAATTACATATCAATAAGCGTGAAAGAATCATCATATTCCAGTATCGTGCCGTTCGATTGTTCATTTTATCAATACACAAATTTAAGGTCTTCTAGCTATCATGTCAACGATAGATATATTTCGTTAAGGAGGCTCCAGTGACTAAAGCAAAAGTCAAAACAGCTTAAACAAATAAAGTTGTACAACGGAGTATATATTTAGTATAAAAAATCTTAGAACTATTTTTAAAATAGTATTTGTTCAAAAGTAGCCACTAACATGACAGACTTTATTTATAAATTTAATAAATAGTCTCTAAATTGATCTTTTTTTTGTAATGAGCCAATCAGTAACTAGCTTTTATTGATACTGCATATGGGTAATACGAAATGTTTATTTATATCTAACGTAACCTAATTACGTATCGCGCAGTCACAAGCTGTGTTATTTATTAAATTTGAAATTACCGAAATATTCAGCCGCAAATCATGAAAACTTTTAATTGCGAATTTGTAACACATTTCGTATAATTTAAACTCGCGCGACTTTCTTTAACAACAAAACAAATATGGCTGTCATTCAATCGCCGGATATCCGAGGGTCTAATAAACTTTTTGAATAATTTTCACAAATATTTTGATGTTTTCCACGGTTACCTATACTTTTAAACATACCATATGAAAGCTGAAGTCTTAATCTATAAGAATATTACTTTTCTATTTTATAACTACTCATTTAAGGTTAATAACGAATCAATTTTAAATCTTTTCCGCGGTGTGTTCCATACGAGAACACGTTAAACGTATAAATTTTAAAATGAAATATCTCAAAATTTTCCACGGTTAGCGGGGTAAATGAGTATATCATTGTATTCAGCGCAATTTAATCTATCGAAATCACTATTACTGATATATTAACTTTCCGCGCTGGAGCCCCCTTAAATAAATCTACCTACTTATTTGTATTTGAGTACATATTTATTTCACATTATTATAACGGATTACTTTGTGATAAAAAAATTTTTATGATAATAATTTTCATAGAATGTTCTTCACACCACAGTAATAAAAAAAACTTGTGATTTTCATTATTTAAAATCAAACGGCCTCCTTAATTTTGCTATTACATGTTAAATAACTAAACGTCATCTCAAAACGTGCTTATCTAACTTCATTATTTAACTTCTTTCAGTCTTTAATTCTTATTAAGCAATTATAGTGTGAATTTAAAATTAAAATTAAAAAATAATAGTGCCTTGAGTAGTTCAATTAGTTCCTAATCCCAAAATATCGCAATAGTCGCATAGAAAAAATTTTAATATATCAATAACAAAAAATAAAACATTGAAATTAAGTGAGTTCTGTCTTCGCCTAGTTCATTATAATTTATTGAATGAATGCGAAAGCACAAACTTCAATGTAACTGCCTGACTGAGGTTCTGTCGAGATGCTATCGTAACGAGACACGGCGCGTGGGATAAACCGATGTTAGGTAGAGAGAGAAAAAAACATGTTAGTCAAGAGCGCACGAGGGCGGAGCGGCCATCAGCAGCAGCTCGAGTCGCCTGTGCCTTTGCTTCGTTCGACTCTTACGTCTTTCAGTCAGCCTGCGAGACTCAGGATCGGGTTGTGGGTGATTGTGCACTACTACTGCCCATTATACATATATCAGTATCTATAGATGTGCCAGGTTGTACTTGTGAATGTTGGATCTAACCTCAAATAAGCAACGCGCGTCCTCGACAGTTGTTTATTGTCAGTGCCTTTAAAAAGTGCATGTACAAATATAATTCGTTGTTTTCACGTATTGGTGAATCTATAAAAATGTGCGACCGCAACTCGCGAGTTTAATAGGAAAGAGCAAAAATTTCCGCCAATAATAGATGTATAGACGTCGACATGGTGCTGCGTAAGTCGAGTAGGAGTTTGTTTTCATGAAAGCCTTTCTTAGGTCTTTGCCTTGTTGCCTCATTAAAAGTATAAGTACTTTCAATAAATTAGCCTTATTTTCAAACCAACTGCAATTGTGATCACTACTCTGAAGCAGTACTAGTTATTTCAAACTTCTCATCTGTGTTGTGTGCCAAACAATGGAGTGCAGATTTAGCTCTGCCTTACTGGCAAATCAGCTTTTTCACAATGTAGCTTTATGCTAAATAAGAGTCTATGCAAAGTGAAAATGAAGCAGTGGTATAATGCAACAAGCATGTGCCTAGTGGGCTACAGCTTGAGAATATTCTGCATGGCACTGTTCGCCGTAGCCAGCACCTCGGAAAATCAATGCCCTGTTGAGTGTTCCTGCTTGGGTAATGCAGTCATCTGTAAGGACTTACAGCTGGTTGGAGCACCTAATGGCTTGCCTCCATGGACTGAAAATTTGTAAGTTGTCAAATCTACTTTTTATGGTCTTTTTATCGACCATTATTTCTAATATTTGTCAAATAATTGACTAGGAACTAACTTATTTTTGTATATTAATATGAGGTATTGATAATTATTAATTTGGTAAACTTTATAAGCTGTATAGCAAAGATGGTATATAATTATCTTTTATTTTTGATTGTTGATATGAAGTATATTAACATGAGCTGCAAGGGAAAAAGAAATGAAGGAGATATCAATCGATGTCTGTCTAATTTGGGGTCTTTATACATGGTAAAATCAAGTTTTTCTTTAATCTTAAAAAGACTCAAAGAAGTAATCTATGATCATTTTAATCCAACCATTTAAATAAATTATTAAAAAAGATTGAGTTCCTTAAACGTTATGCTATTTCAAAATTGGTAAATAAAACCAGTAAATGTTTTATTATTAGTACATTGGCTTAATATTTAATGAAATTTTATTTAAAAATAAATTTTGAAAAGTTCGATTGCGTTCAGCAAATATTTTTTTAAAGGAATCGATTTGATCTGATTTTACTACTGATAGTTTATGTGATAAAACTGAATGACAAGTGTTTGTTTATTCATTAGCAAGAATATTTTGTGAAAGTTTCATGAAAATAGATCTCCTGCAGGTGTATTGGAAAGTAAAATAAAGTCTATAATTAGAATAGAAGAGTGTGTGATTGTTAAAAGGCTCAGATGTATTGTGAACAAAAAAAAATCAAAATTGAATAAAGAAAAGTTAGTAGAAAGGCAGTGAATGAAACTTGAAGGGACGCAAAAGAGTAATTAAATTTACAAAAATGAAAATAAAACAGGTGATTTTGCGAAGTAAAAATTGGAAGGAATAAGACTGATCGGGTTTTTAGCGGGAATGTGGAAGAAGAGGCCGATGTTAGATCAGAGAGGTGCTATAATCGGTCATGGTGTTTAAAGGTGAGAGGGGGTACAGTGGGCAGCTCGAACGACGAACAAGAGCAGCGGTAATTGAAAAAAAGCCCACGGTGCAATCGCTCTCTCATCTTGTACATTCGATCCTGAGGCGGTGGAGGAGGAGGAGAGAGGGCGCGAAAAATATCGCTCCTTTGTGACCGGCGGCGCGAGCGCGGCGAACCTGTTTGAGCTGCGAACGTTGCGCGATCATGGGTGGGCCAGGCTCCGAACGCAACCGCTATGCCGCGCGCGCTGCTAGCGTTTCGAGCCTGATCAGCAGCAGAGTCGGAAGCGAGAATCGAATCGTGATGAACTCGGCGTTTCTGACGCTTCGAGCTCGCGCGAACAAATGGGACAAAGCTCATTCTCCTTGGTCGCCTTATTTGTCTCGACACGCTCGCTTGATCCTGCTCTCGGCGGCTGTGTCAGGCGAACTGTTGTGAAAAATAGCAGGAAGCGCGAGCGCCGCAAATGCGCATGAATGCCAGCCGAATCGACAGCATCGAGAGGCGTGCTGCATGAAAGACCAAGACGTGGGAACAATGAGGCTGAAGAATAAAGGGAAGCGTTTGAAAAAGTTTCGGTGAATGTGCGTGCGAGTAGCTCTGAAAGAGGCAGCCTGAGAGGCGGGCCGCTGCGAGCGAGCCGAACAGGACCGAGCGGGAAGAAAGGGAGACGGAAGGAGAGGAGAGGCGAGGTGAGAAAGATCTCGCTGCGTGCGAGAGCCACGCGAGGGGGATGGGGACAGGGGTCCGCGAGAGAAGGCCGGAGCGCGCGCGGTCCCGGAGTCTTTTGTCGTTGCCTCGCGCTGTAACCGCCACTGGCCCACTACTAATCTTGGATTTACGTCGAGGCTCGCTGCCCGGCTCGCGCGAACGGCGAGGGCCAGCGCGAGTCTCGAGGACTCGGGCGCCGATTCCGCGTTGTCGCGTCGCTTCACAGGCGAAGATCGTGGGCCGTCGTCGCCTGGTCCTTCGGATTACGCGGGTCGCGGCCCCGTCTCGCGCGCACACGCTTCAGGCAAACATCTTGCAAAAGCCGGCCCGACACTTAAGCGCCGTGCAGCCCGGCAAGTGGGGTGATGATGTCACAGTTCGATTGAATTTCGAGCTGGTAGTGTTTGGGTAGATGGTGAGTCAGCCGGTCGAGCCTCCACTCGATCGATAAAGCAGCAGCAGTACCGAGGACGGGGGCTGACTCATCCGCTGCGCGACGCTACTATGCCTCGCCAGGCGGAGCATCCTCGCTCTCGAGCCTCGCTCCTCTACTAATCAGCGGATCCGCTCTGTTTCAGAATCCTGAAGGGCAACAACTTTGCCAATCTGCAGTTCGACGCGCTCGAGAGCCTGCCCAAGCTGCAAGAGCTGTAAGTCACTTCTGCCGCTTGCTTCTTGATCGAATTCCAATGCTAACAATGTGCATCCGCAGGGACGTCAACTCGAACGTGCTGGGCGACAACTTCACGCTGAGCTTGTCGGACGAGGCACAGCTCAAACGTCTGAAAGCCAATAAGAATCGGTTGACGCGGATTCCTCGGCTCCAGCGGCTCTTCCACTTGACGCATCTCTCTCTGTTAGTACTCTACGCCATTCCGATGCTATTTCGGCGACGTTCCCCGGCTCACCCTTCCTCGCCCCTTCCTTGGCTCGTTTTCAACTTATGCCTCTGTCTGCCTGCCACTTCTCCCTAATCGTCATTCGCTCGATCAAATCAGCCAAAGGCAAACCTACAAACTTCCTGCGGAGCTCCTCGTATTTTGCACGCAATTGCTCCTTTGCCACTTCATGTTTTAAACGCTTCCGCTTTCATTTAATGAAATAGCAGAGTTCCAGTGAAAGCTCGCTTTTGTCTATCATTCGGTTCTTTATCACTTACCAAAATTACCGAAATCTTCGGCGCTTGTTTCCGACTCTCATGCGGAAAAATACTGTCCTTAACTGATGCAAAAAAGCCTTTTGACGAAACTCGTCACAGCACTCGCCTTTGGTTCGTGTCGTATACTTTTCGTTTCGCCGAAAAAGCCGAGGCGAAACCCAGTATCCATATATACTATTTCAACACGTCTCGCGGAAAACACGACTTCCGCTCTAATCCAATTATTCTCGTACAAAAAAGTTTATCTATATTTTGCACGAACAGCGTAAATTTTGTTTCTTTGGCCACGGAATACCATGTAGATAATGGCAAAAATAGTTTTGGTTTACGAATATGTTGGAAATATTAAGCTGATTTTCCAATAGACACGAAAATCGTACGTGTCAAGTAATTTCTAGTGGGTTTTTTGTTACTGCCAACTTGAAATAATAAATGGTTAACATAGTCTCAAAATAATTAGGCAAACTTAAATGCAATTAGTATATATTCATAAAAGTGTAAAAAATATTCAAATTATTAGCCAATAGTTACTACAATAATATTGCTCAGATTAATTATAATATTATAAAAAAACGTTTGTAAGTTTGGGAAATTTCGTTACAACTTTTGAGATTATGTTGCAAGAAATTCCAAAGTTGATTTATTTTGAATTCTTAAGTTTGCAGCAATTTGTTCCGTACGTTTTTCCGGTCTATTAGAGAATCAGCCTTATATTATTAATAATTTATTGTCGGAACGCGTCACCTTTTTTAGTTATTTGATAAATAACTTTTTTCTAATTATCGTATCGAGATGAGGTCATCGGCATTAGATTCCTGAATAACTTTTCCATTAGGATTAATATTTGTTTAAATAAAAATTCTTTTTAATAACAATATGTTTTCATGTTTGCGAAATTAAAAAAAATTAAAGTAACATTATTTTTTACAGTTCGTTAACAATTTGCTTCTTACTTATTTTTTCTGTATATCGTTGAAATAGTTTAATACAAATTTAGTGTGGACTCTTTCTTACAATTTATTTGTTTACAAGCTACATGTACAGTGTACATGACGGTGTATCTCTCCTGTCATGATCACGTAAAAAAATGATTGTAGTTTATGTAGAATCGAAATATCTATAATTTGAGTTATTTTTAGATATTTTTCCTAATTCTTGACCGAGATAATGGCAAAAAAGAGAAATTGTTTAGTTGTTAAATACAATTTAAATATGGTGAGGTATACTTACAGAATTCAAACAAACGGACTTCAATTAGCAATAAAAAATTCACCGAGCGATCATTAGATGCGACACAGTGAGCGTCCACTATTATTCCTCACTGTGTCGTATCTAATGATCGCCCGGTGAATTTTAAAACGTATTCTTAAAGAAAAAAGGTCAAAGAATTCAATAAAATAATTTTTGAAATAAAAATAACACTTTTTGAGATATGGCCAATTGTTTAAAAAAAATATTTATAACTTTTGGAAAAATAGATATTAAAGTATTGTTCGCTTAATATCTTCAAAATACACTCTTTTACGCGTAATTTAAAAAAAAAATTCGTTTCGATAACTTAAATGATTACGGAGATATAAATTTCTGAAAATTTTTTGTCAAAAATTTTTAATTGTTTATAACTTTTGATATAATTATTATAATGATCTAATAATCCATATTGAAGTAAACTATCATATAAGCAACATTTAGAACAAGTTTCAAGAAAATCCGAAATCTCCCCTTGATAAACTGATCGTCATAATCTAGAATATGCCACATATTCTAGAATGATTGGATTACACGTTTTACGAATCTTCAAGCTTTTCACACGTTGTTTTGAAAAATACCGTGCCCAGCATGTTCGGAATAGTTCATTTCCGAATGAGTGCGAAAAAACTTTTTTAGGGAAACGAAAAGTTTACAGCACGAGCTACAGGCGAATGCCTATAACAAGTTTCGTCAAAAATCCTTTTCGTATCAGTTTTGGTCGATTTTTTTCCGCATGAAAGCTGGAAATAAGCCCCAATGGTGCAATTTAGTGGTTAGAATACGGCGAAAGAAATTTTCGTCTCATGTGCTTTTTCCTACATGAGGTAAGAGTCTGCTTCACCGTATTAGGTAGGTAATGTACTATAGAGAAATATCGTTGCCACAAGTTTTCGCTAATCAGCGCACACGTTGGCAATTAGTATTTGGTTGATTATGCCATCGGTGAACGAGCTTAGCTGATCGATCAGACCTCGTTGAATTCCTTAATGGTAATAACAATGATTTTAGTGCTCACAATGCGATAAGCGAAATCAACAAGGACGCCTTGGCTGCTTACCCGGAACTGCAGTCTTTGGATTTGAGCGGCAACAAGATCAACAGTGTGCGCAACGCGACGCTGAACGCGGCTAAACTGAAGAATTTGTAAGTCAATAGTATCGGTATTGTCATAAATGCCATCAAAACGAAAATAATGCATGATTTCGCTCACTGCAGGAACTTGAATTCGAATCAAATAAGCCTAATCGAGAGCAGCAGCTTCGAGAAGCTGCCCTCACTGCTGGAGCTACGACTGAACAAGAACCGACTGAGCGTGCTGAAGGACTATCTAAAGAAGCTGGACAAGCTGCGCATACTGTGAGTATAATGCTGGCTGGTTAGAGATGAGAGATGAGCTAATATTAAATTGACGTGGTTGTTGTAGTGAAGTGAACCAGAACGAATTACACCAGATCGATGCGCTGACATTCAAGGAGTTGACGAGTCTGCGCAAGCTGCGACTTAAGCGCAACAATATTTCGGTTTTAAATGACGGGGCGTTTTGGCCGCTGAGCAGTTTAAGTGAGCTGCAGCTGGACTTCAACGCATTGCGCACCGTGCCCAAGGGCGCGCTCTTCGGTCTCGAACAACTGCGCAGCTTCGGCCTGTCGCATAACCGTATCAGCCTCATCGAGCCCCTCGCCTGGGAGACCTGCAAAGAGCTCGCCGACCTGTGAGTCTCTCTTTTTCTCCCTTCCTCTATTAAACCCCAACTTACACATATCGCTATATACAGAGACCTCTCGTACAACGAGCTCAGCCGCATCGACCGAATCTTCTTTACCTCGCTGCGCAAACTACGCAAGCTCAATCTCGAGCACAACGGCATCGTCTACATTGCCGAAGGTGCCTTCAAGGATCTGTCCAGCCTCCAAGTGTTGTGAGTCGGCATTCGTGGCCTTCGCTTCATTTCGCCTTACCTCCCCCTTCTAATCGCCGATCTTATCTACTTTCCTTTCAGAGAGCTCAACTCCAACAAGATATCCTACATAGTCGAGGATGCCTTCGGCATATTCGTCTCGCTGAGTCAGTTGCTCAAGCTGGGAATCGCGCACAATCAAATCAAGTCCATCCACAAGAATGCTTTCAACGGCCTCATGCAGGTTACCGAGCTTGATCTCACTGGCAACAACATTACCAGCATCCAGGAGAACGCCTTTTCCCCCATGGCATCCAGTCTCACCACTCTTAAGATGAATACCAGTGAGTTAGCCGATTGTCGGAAAAAGCTCCATTGTCGAAGCTACCGGTTGCTCATCTCATCGTTTGTCTTGTATTTCATCCACAGGTACGCTTTTCTGTGACTGCGGCCTGCAATGGCTGAGCGTTTGGCTGCGCACACACCAATTAAGTGAGACTAGAGTGCGCTGTGGTTATCCGCAGTGGTTGCACGGCAAGTCGTTGACTCAGCTTCATCATGCCAATTTCACATGCGATAATGGTAGCTCTTTTTATTTACATATCAATGACGCTCCGTGCGCCGTCATGAACCAAGCATGGATTTCCAGATGAATCTCCGAAGCCAAGGATCATCGAAGAGCCGGCGAGTCAGCTGAGCATCAAGGGCGACAACGTGACGCTTAAGTGCAAGGCCGCTATCACGGCCGATGCACCCTTTCACTTTACCTGGAAGCACGATAACTTAGAGATCAGAGACAGAACGCTCTACAGCGACGAGGAGCCGTCGCTGCTCGACGGCTTGACCGTCGCCTCATCAGAACTCCGCCTGAATAACGTGAGCAACACCCACGCGGGGAGATATCAGTGCATAGTTACTAATAACTACGGCACCAGCTACTCGGCCAAAGTCAAAATAAGTGTGCTAGGTGAGTACTTGTGGCCAGGCCTGCATGAAACGCCAATCATGTGCACTGCCGTCAGTCCCAATCGATCGACGATCATTTATATACGTCTTTTGTTGCCTAGTGTACCCATCATTTTCAAAAAGGCCACACGACATTCGCGTGACGGCCGGTAGCACGGCAAGTCTCGAATGCTCGGCCGAGGGAATTCCTACGCCACAGATAGCCTGGCAGAAAGACGGCGGCAACGACTTTCCGGCAGCACGTGAGAGGCGCATGCACAAGATGCCCACCGATGACGTCCTCTTCATCGTCGACGTTAAGACTGCCGACAGCGGCGTCTACTCTTGCACTGCTCAGAATCTCGCTGGCATTATCGTTGCCAATGCTACGCTTACTATACTGGGTACGTATTTACCAGCACGGTTGGTCCGGCGGCAAGATTCAAACCGACGAATACGAGCAACCAACTACTGATGATCGTTGCAGAGACGCCTTCGTTCGTAAAGCCGATGGAGAACAAAGAAGTTATTGTTGGTGGATCAATAGTGATGGAGTGCATGGCCAGCGGTTCGCCGCGACCGCAGCTGTCTTGGCGCAAGAACGGCAATCCTCTGCAGGCGACTGAGCGCCATTTCTTGACTGCTGAGAATCAGCTACTGATAATCGTCAACACCGAAGCTGCCGATGCTGGCAGTTATGAGTGCGAGATGAGCAACTCCCTCGGCACCGTTATGGGCGCTTCTTTTCTCAACATCAAAGCTGGTAACTTATTCGACAAAGCGTTCTGGATTTCTCGCCATGAGCGCAATTCTCACTCTGCGGCCATGTTTCAGCTCCTAGCCCGATGGTCAACGAAGATGACATGCTAGGCCTGATAATCATCACGGTGGTTTGCTGTGCCGTTGGCACTTCAATCGTCTGGGTGGTCATTATCTACCAGACTCGCAGACGCTTGAATGCTGCTCAAACTGGCAACAGGCAGCCGAACACCGTTCTCCCCAACGCACCTGCCGAGCACGAGATGGAAACGCACCTCTACCTGGACACAAGCTCGCAACACAGCAAGGACAGCGGCACCGGTGATAGCACGAATCCCAGCAATGACCAACTTCAGTTTTGCCTCCCAGGTAAGCCGAAACATCGCTTGGCAGTCATCGTTCTACCCGCCTGTCGCCCTTACTCATGTGTCCTCTTACTCATCTGTCCCGCGCTTCTTTTCTGAATTGCATTAGTTAAAGTCTAGCTTCTCGCTAGGACAAATCGTCAAGTGTTCCGCGACCAGCGGAGAAGATGCAGCCAATATAGAGGCCGTGGAGCCTCTACTTCATTATACCAATCACGAGCGACACCGCTGCGATGAGCTACACCACGAGTACGAAATGACCGAAACAGCGCCACGCGCCAGAGATATGGACAAGGGCCCGGATACTTCTTCGATCGCAAACGCTCACCAAGCTTGAGCCACCTATTATCACACAGTATGCCAATTTTCTTCTTAGAAACGGCATATTCTGTTCCTAGGGTATTGGTCAATTCTTTGCATTGTTCATAGTATAATTCTGGCTTAACAAGCCTTTTATGGTTTAAGCGTAAGCATTATAACAATCACTACGTACTTTGAAAAATATTGACTTAGCTCTATCCAAGCCTTTCTTTATTTGGAGCATTTCCGAATTCATATGCGTAAAAGTATATCATTTAAACTTCGATGCTCCTAAGAACTATATTACTGTGCAAGTTTGCCAAAACTCGTAGTGAGTAGCTCCGAATGAAAATCGAAAGTGAAAATGTGTCATCATTATTATGAAGTTCTAAACTTTACCGCTCAATCGTGACTGTTTTGTAAATAATTGAATCAAGTTATACAACTGATTTATTGCCATAGATTTGACGCTTAGCTTGCGTCCACACTTTCCCGGTGGGTGTTTGTTACGATGGATCAAACTACACAGATACACACACTGGTGCCAAAGTACAAACACTAGGCAAACAATCTACATGTACACTCAGGTAACACAGTGCGCCATGTGTTCTCAACCTTTTATATATTAGATCAACTTTTTGTGATAGATTATTTATTTTAGCTGTATTGAAGTTTGTATATTCAGATGATTGATTATAGTTTTCAAGAAAACCAAAAAAGTGGTTAATTTTATATTAAATTAATTAAACATTAATTTATACGTTTGATTTAGCACTATTTCTAGATCATTCGCATTTTAAAAATAATAATTTAAGCTGCGTTCTTAATCTCGTACTCTTATCACGGTACTACGCTTTTATTGTTTAACGCATAATAAAGCGAAAACATAATATTGACCATGGATAGTTAATGAATTTATATCGTACTATTAGGCATCGAGAAAATCCGTTTTTGACTTCTTTTCAAGTTTTATTTGCGTTCTTTACGAAAAATTACTGTAATATTTTATTATTAGTCCTATCATGGTTCATTTAAATTGTTAATATCACCTGTGTAAAAACAATAATGACAAAATATACTTTAGCTTTAAATCGATTATGAATTCAATATTGAAATCGTTGGTTATATGTTCTCAAGCTCAAATCTGAGTATTAAGCATAATTTACATGATGAATCGGCTGTGATGTAATAAAATTGATAATAAGAAATTTATCTGTTGAAAGGTATAAATCACTTGATAATAGTCCAAGAGCTGGCTCCGAAAAATTGACGTCAAAACTATATGATGAAAAGTTAATCAATCCATGAATTAATGTATGTACATTGCAAAACTAAATCGTTACCAAAATAATTGAGGACATTACAAATAGCCGCCAATCAAACATGATTATTTTTTGTACTGAATTAATGTACAAGTCATACTTCCAGTCTCTTGTCGTAATTTATTACTTAGACTATAAATAAGGGTGGTCAAATATTAGCAAAAATTTTAGGGTGAATCGTGGCAATCAGACAGGGAAAACATAAATTTTGCACATATAATAAAACGTCAAAATAATGTACATTGTTGTTGAGTGATTTTTTTATTGGTAGATATTTCTCGAACGTTGATAAAGAGGGAAAAACATGATCTTTTTATGAGATTGAAAAACACCATAAGAATGTTTTCTGTTGTCAACGAATATGTATTCTATTGTAGATGAATGCGCCTTATGAAAAAAAAAAAAACGTACCGAATGTAAAATATTTTACGGTATATTTTTTGGAGTTTACATGTTATAAGATTAAAATTTTTTCTATGACAGAATAAATGGTATAGATCAATCGACATAAATATCGATGAAAAGTTGCCCACAATCCATTATTACACAAGCCGAATCTAGGTCAGATGACCCCAACATAATCATTCCATCCATTGCATCCAATTGTTTATAAAATGGTTTATAAAAATTTATTTAAATAAATCACTAGAAATTTTCGAATTTTGAAACACTAATCGCTAAACTAATAAAACTTGATTATATGTAACGATTTTACGAACAAAAGGGCGTCTGATAAAAAAATAAGAAAAATTTCAAATAAGCTCTCTTTCTGTATTTTTTCCTTTGAATCCATTACTGCGATTAGTTTTTCAAAATTCTAAAATTTCTGGTAAATTGCTCAAATAATTTTCTATAAACAATTGGCAATGGGAAAAGAAAAAAAACAAGGACACTATTTTTTTTATTTATGAAATAAATGGCATATACATATGTGGCCTAGATTCGACTTGAGTATTAATGAATTATAGGAGCATCATTATCAATATTTGTCGATGGGACCTAGAGAATTAATTCTGCCATTGTAAAAAGCTCAAACTTGTAACACATAAAACTTAAAAAACGAAATTGCAAAATGCATTGTTTCACAATATCTTTTCTTTTCTTTTTTTATAAAGCGTGTCTTTCGCATTGCGGCACGACCTTACTTGATGCTTTTAAATATATTTGGCCCATGTTATGATATATTACTATGTATAAAATACATATCCGTAAACCATTCAATTTCTTTGACGTTTGCCCGTCGCATGAAAAGGTTCTTCCACTCTGCCGACACGTTTGACTCATGAAAAATTTCTGCTAATGAAAAAAATCATCACTTAATTACAAAGTAGACTTTCAATACAAAACAAATGCATTATGCTTTAACGTTTTTGTTACTTGTGCCAAATTCGGGTTGGGTTCTCCCATCTTTGACCCGTGAAAAATTACAACCAATGTTTAATCTTCTGTAGTTATAATCTAAGCAGTAAATTACGACAAAAAACGGAAAATATGAGTTGCATATTAATGCAATACAAAGTATAATCATTTTTCACAGGCCGCCATTTTCAAACGCCCCAACTTTTAAACCAAAAATTTCTTTTAACAATGTATACGTTAATCGACGGATTAATTAACTTTTTAGGTCATACTGTTTTGACGTCTTTTTTTTTGGGACTACCTCTTGTACTAAACCAATTTTATCACTCTCAGTTAAAGCCCAGATATGTTTATTTTTCCGTAAAACGGCACAATAATAAACTTATAACATGACCATAGATTTTTTTATATGTCATCTTACTGTAAATTTATCTCGTCTTTTCTATTATTTATCACAGCCATGATATAATCGTGATGCATGATGCAGCTATCCATTTTCATGGTAAGAAAAACCGTAAAAAAATTTTGAAAGAATCATTGTTGGTTTACATAAGGTAAAAATATTTGCCAATATTGTAATCTTTCTCAAAGTGCCACGCTTGACAATACGCCTTATGATAAAAGATATGATATGCCTTATTAATAGAGTTAAAATTTAAGATAAATTTATATTCTATACTCTATGTATGAAAAATTATATCTAAAAAATATAGGGATATACGTGTTTATTACAACTAATTTTTAACGTGTATTTTCATAAAAATTCAATTTCAACAGTATCTATTGCAAAATAGTTCTTTATTTGGGTTAAATCTGCTTAATTAAATTAAAAAACAATATGCGTCAAATATGTTTAATAAATGATTGTAAAATAAAAATGAGCACAACTGACTTGAGCCAGCGCAATGAGCTTTTTTGAAATATAATTGAATACATTTTTTTATAGATTTATGTTACTATGTTACAACTTTTTTAATAACGTATAGTAAATAAAAACCGAAGTCGATCGACAAATGCACTCGGTATTGTACTTGTATTTTCGGTTGATGTTTGTATGTTAGTTGTTAATATTGGAAGTATAGTGATATTGAAACTTGTGAGTGCAAAAAGTACAAGATATGGCGATTGGGATGTATACTTGTCATATAATGATTGAACTTGGTCGAGTTTGCATTCTGGTCTTAACAGACTTTAACATCTATTTGATCCAGTATTTTATCTTGTTATGTAACGTATGATACATATTGTGTACAAATACAAACTTAATAAACTACCATATGATTCTTTATTATAAATCTTACCTTTTGCTAGTAGCTACTCCGATAGTTCTAAATTATATTGAATACTCTTTTTTGCAATTAGTTCAATAAATTTGTTATCTCATAATCTCATGTTGTTTATAACTGTTATAGTCGTGTATTAGAATTGATATTGATGATTTAAAAGAAATATTTATTAAACAAAAATTGAAGACATGAATACAATATATGTGTATTAAAATTAATATATGACACGTATTTTAAACAGATTAATGAAATTCATTATGACCGCATCATTGATGCACGCAAGTCTGATACATTAGAATTATATCGCACGCAAATAACTTTAACTTTAACTAAAAAAGAAACCAATAATAAGATACGAAAATAAAATTTACTCAATATGTTACTTTTGTGATTAGTAACATTTGTTCTACTGCCAGTTAATACAATCTCTTATAAGCAGTTGCTAAACTACTTATTTTCCAAATATCACAATATTGCAGGAAGCGCGCTTCGTTTCATTGTAATAAGAGATTTTAGATTTTAAACTGTTTAACTTTCCCTTTCGTTTCCCTTGCAATCTCTAAAATTGTCAAACTGGATCTGGTAAATGATATTCTAACTATACTAATGTGACTTTGTTTACGCTGTCCTCCCTTACTCCCCATGTACACGCAGCCACAATTGTGTAAATTTTTAATTTTTATACTTCAGTTGGAAATCGAGTTATAGATTTCCGAATGGTACCGTTCTTAAAATGTTACCTTATAATGATTTTTAATTTAATGAAGCAAATTTAATGTAATATAAGCTACAGTGTTATTTTTAGAGTATATCAGGATAATATTTAATGAGATAAATATGAAAAGTTCCGTTTCATAATAAAATAAATTACCTTATGATAAATATGAAAAGTTCATCTTGAGGGCGATATCGTAAAAAGAAACGTGCAATAATTTGCAAAAAAAATTGTCAAATAACTCCTTCCAAACCCTTTATAATACATGTGCTAGAAATACTGTCTACACCAAACTCAAAACCATTAAAAGAATTATTGTTAAAAGAATACTTGCAACTTAACTGCATTTTACATTAAAAATATTCGTGACTCGCGGTTTCGAGCAGGTACGGAAACAGAGCTGCTTCAATATGTTTTTTCTAAATTATTCTTATTTATTACTTTCATTACTGCTTAGATAAACTCGAAAAACAGATCTGAGTGTATATTTGAATATAAGATTCGAAAATACTAGGAAGCACCTTATTAATGAGCCAATGCAAAGATCTGCGAGTTGGTTTCCAGCTGAAGTATAAAAATTAGAAATTTATAGAAATGCGAACATGGTGGGGCAAGAGAAATAGCATATGATGAGCAGCAAAATACGTATTATAAACTTTGTCCCATTGTATGTAAAGTTACGGAGGAATTGCATAAAAAATGTTGAGGGTTTGTGCGCGTTATTTGTACACTGAAAAACGATACCAATCATTAATTTTATTACAATACCAATAACTATAATTGCAAAAGAATCTTGGCTGTTCTGTGTGGCTATTTAAATAATTAATTTAAAAACTACTTACGTGATTTCCAACTTTTATTTCATTTGAATTGAAAAAAAATCAAACAATTACAATAGTTAGAAATCATTATTATTGGTAAAATAATAAATATGTTCTGAAGAAGATTAACCAGCATTCTTATATCGGATACGTAGGGAATATCTATTGATGGAACTTTGTGTCTATATTTCTAACAAACTATGTATATTAGTGAAAAGCCTTAGCAAGTGTTTTAGTTATAAAAATATATAATAACTATTTTTATAATAACTTTATGCGGAAATAAATAGTCACACTGAGATTTAATACAAAAATACATAGAATGATATTCTTGTCAATTTCAATTAAAGTTCATTTTTATTTAATTAAAAAGCGACAATAAAGAAAAACCCATTTCTCAGCACATAAAATCGCTGAGGTATTATATCTAACTCAAGTTGTCCACTCATAGGGTAGTAACCGTTATTTTAATAATTAATAATACAAAATATTCGCCACTCAATTCACGTTTGTCATCAAACTTTCATAGTATGTACAATTATGTTAAACAAAATTGCTAAACATGCTCAATCAATCTAACTAGACGATGCCTCTGCTTCATGCGCTTCAACGGGAGATTTTATCATTATCAATAAATGACTATAGTAATAATAATAATAATAATAATAATAATAGTAATAGTAATAGTAATAATAATAATAACAATTGTAATAATAATAATAATAGTAGTGATAATTATGTGAATGATATTAATGATAAGATCGATGATGAAAAGAAAGCGCAGTAACGTCTATAGGAAGGAATTCATGTAACTTTTCATCACTAAACGAGATAATAAAAGTAATAATATGAGAAGGTCATCGGCGTCGAGTGATAGATGAGCATGACATTGAAACGTTATCATTACTGACTTTGTACAAGGTTTTATACCATTCACAGACGTGGAGCCACAAAACAATGAGTATGGATCAGCCTTGAGCTACACAGCTCCATTGACGTAAAATTCATAAAGTAGCCAACGTCTGGGCAGAACCTAATTTATAGCCTTGCCAAATGAAAAAGAAATAAACAAATAAATAACACCTATAAGTGCACCGAAATTGTCGAGAGACAGTTAAATTACGTTGAATCGCAGAGTAAGTTGGATAAAATTATATAACGACTTGCTGTCTATGTACAATAACGGTATTCCTTTCTACGCATTCCCTCAGTCAGCCACTTTGTCAGTCGCTGCAAGTCAAAATGCAATTTTGATACCCCGGCGCATCCATCCGATAATCTAGTTTACGATAGTATTTACAGTGCAACATTCAATGATCTTAGCTAGCAAGATACGCTACCTCGTCAGCACTATCTCTCAACAAAAAATAAAACAAACAACAACTTCTGAAAATAATAGAAATTCGGAGCAAACAGAAACTAATAAACGATTAACAAACAAGCCGATGAACAAGGATGAGTAAGTTGAAATTGCTAGAAATGTCGCGTCTCTACTCAATCAACGATTAATTAATTACTTTAAAAAGACTTTCATACATTTGGATGATAACTTTGTTGATTTGATCAACTCTACAATGAATGAATGAATGGAGCTTCGCTACGCAGTTGTCCTAAACGTTTAACGGCGAATTTCATGTACAACAATCGTGCGCATTTTGTACTTTCGAGGGAAGCTAGGCAAATGTCGAATAACATGTAATTTGCATAAAAATTTGCACTGAGCCGACCACAAAGTCAATTTGATTGGCATAACTATTAGGGAAAAGATAATCAATTGTGTACTGTTATCGGATTATCAACTATTAACATATGTATCTATGATGTACATATAATAATTGGCACGTAGTGCTAAATTTATACAATAAAAAGGAGCGTGAGTGAGGATTTCCATGAGGTTTAGATTGAATAGCGAATTGGGTCGGGCTAACTATATAAATCGGATGCACGGCTTTGTCGTCAGTCAGTGTAGTTCTTAATTTATCGCGTTCTACGAAAATTGCGTCACTTTGATTGGTCAAGCGAGTGAGCACATACAGATAAGTAAAAACGAATGAATTCTTTGATCGAGAACCTAAAAACCTTGTTCGATCGGCCCTAAACTAGTTGCAAGGCCAGTGACCTCGAAGTGCAACGCACATCTCGAGCAAATCTAAAGAGCACAGCCGCGCACGTACTTGCCCGTTAAACAAACATCGGGCTCGTATCTTTAGTCGATTCGCTTCGCCGAAGCGCTCGCAATGGCACGTGTAATTTATGAAATTGAGCTTACAGGCAGATGCACGCGTGCGTGCTAAGACATCACAGCGAAAGAGCCGACTATTGGGCGATCGGCTGCACATTCATCGCTTACAACTACAGTGTAAATCCGAACAGTACCCGAGCTATTCGATGTGGCGCTGCTTGGACAATCGGCTAGTCAGCGCCGATCTGTTCGTCAAGCAGGTCCGATTGCGCAAAGGCTTCTTGAGAGTTCGCTAACAGTGCGCGACCGGCAATGGAGCGGATCGCGCGAGAAGTGCGCGCCGAAATCAGGCACCTTCCTCGCAATTAGTCGAGCGCCGTTCATCGCCGGTCTTATCTCGAGCTGGCTCTCTCCAACTGCTGAGTAGAGAGCGGGCAAGGCACGTTGCAGCACGGCCGCCTCGGCTGGTCTGGCACCTCGTGGCAGCTCACTCGTCGCTGATGTTCTTGAGCTCGGTGTAGGCGTAGTTGCGCGAGTGATGGTGCTGCGGCTGCAGGTGAGCCTGCTTGCGCTGGCCGCCGTCGCCTATTCTGCTCGGTATCGACGTGCCTGCTACCCCATAGTAGTTCCTCCGTTTGTACACCATAAAGCTGTAATCACGACAAAACGTCAGGTTAATCGTTCCGCTCGACAGCCTAGCCCTATTCCCCCACCCGTTTCGAGCATTTTCGACGCGACTCATGGCCACTGCACGAGCCATTGCGCGATCTGTCGTTCCTATTCGCGGCGGTGCGGTTTAATCGGTTTTTACAACGCAAGCGAATCGCGAAAGCATGCTTCAAGGCGCTCGAATTCGACCCGGATAGTCGCGCCCGAGAAGTCGTTGGAGCGAAGGGGGAGGGGGAGGGAGGGGGGTAGCCGGCGGGATCGAGATGAGCGCCTCGTTGCGCGCCGTGCGGATCCTTGAAAGCAGTCTGCTTCGACGGACGAGTCGCCGGGCCGGATGTATCTGCTAGCTACACAGCGCGCCTTCCCTTCTTGGCTTGTCGGTTGGCTGATACGACGAGAAGAGGGGCTCGGATCGCAATGCCAATTGGACATTCATACCTGCGTCCATCGTTGGTATGGTCAGAGCGCTGAGTTGCCGCAGGTGTAACGTCGTTGGATCAACTGCAGCCGTCTCATTGCCTGCGACCTTGCAAATACTACGCCGCATTCTCACGCTACCACCTTATCGCGCGTGCTCATCGCAAATCGTTACGTACTTATCTCTACGCCCGCTCTGCTCTTTTCCGTTCCGTATCGTTCTTTTTTATTCGGACTCTTTTTCAATCTACCGAGTCTTTGATCTAGAAGCAAATCACCCGAATGTTCGACATTACTTTATAGATTAACCGTGAATAGTGTCAGTTATTCGTGTATTTACGTATTTATTCTCAACGGTTATTCCAACATTACGAGTAGGCGGGATCTGGAAAGAGGTAATGCAGAAAAAAAAATCACTTACTGGAGACAAAAGAATGCTAGATTATATTGAGATAGGCGTTCCACGATCCATCGATAACATTTATGTTATGCAAACGTAAATTGTGTTACCAAGGATACACATCAATTCCGTCAGAATGTTAGAATTATTTGTTCTGCCCAGAACATCTTTTTCATGCACATGCACGTTCGTTATATTGAAACATATATGCGAGTGGAGTCGTTTGTTAAAGCATTAAACATCACGTGGCTATATCTGAGCAAGCAGTTAAAAATGGAAAAGTAGGTAGGGGCATGGACTTTGAGGAATGTTACTTTATTAATCGAATTGTTTGCCATATGTGGGGATTGAAGATTTGATCATTTTAATGAGTATAACTAATCGCGGAAAAGTTCCAAAAGTTCAACAGAGCCAGAGAAGGACAATCTGAATTATTGGTACGCTCATTTTAATTGTAACGTTAATTACTTCGGTAGAATGCATTGAACAAAGGCAATCGTTGCCGTTCCGAGAGAACGGATATTATTGCTGCTACACCTCGGTTATCGTTTCTCTCTCTCTCTCTTTTTCTGTCACTCACATTCTCTCTCTCTCTCTCTCTCTCTCTCTCAATGTCTCATTTGCTTTTTTTTGTTAATTTAATCGCAAATTTTCAGAAACTTACAATAAACAACGGATAAGAGTCTTGCATATACTCCGGAACATAAATTATTAAAAGAGATTGAATGAGAAAGTACGTTGGTCATCATGCATTTACTCGATCAAGTATAATGCGATCAAGTTACTGCATAAAACTTTTAAGACTAAAAATATATACATTATTATTAAGACATTTTATCAATTGGGATAACATTTCATTCTGATAGTCATATTTAATATTGTGATACCGTGATCTACATCAAACTGGACTCGAATAAAGTCTAGGATCAGACATACTTAATCTAATTATTGATCTGAGACAACTTTGTTGACGAACAAAAGATTTTAGCGAATGTATGAATAAAAATTGAAATAAATAATTAAGTTCTACTAGTATCAACGTCAATTCTAAAGGATCTCTTTTTTTATTCAATAAATATATTTCATCTAAATATCGTAAAAAGATTAGGGAAACTTGTTTTATAGTAAAAATCACAAGTAAGCTAGGACCGCCTGTTCATGTGATCATTGCAGTGACTCATTGCAGTAAAGCTAATAAATATTATTTCATTAGTGATTTTAACATCTTTTCAGCGATATCTCGCGATAAACATAGTTCTAAATAATATTGTTAATTCATTCAGTATAAATATGCACAATATACGTTCGACATTTCAACGTTAAAAAATACGTTGTCAAAACTGATGTCACGATCATTCAAGATATGCGGGTTTTCCCTTAATATCACAGTGTATTTAACAACAGCGCGCATTCTAACCTCGTTTGGTCTTCTCAACTACATCAATTCTATTACAGTTTCCAAATTCGGAGCTTTCTCTTATCCAACTCGCTACAGCTAGTAACGTTATAGACTATATTACGCCTGTAATAAAAACAGTTATAATAACACATAAAATAATCAAGAATTCAACAGTTGCTAAACATTAAAGACCAGGACACTAGAACTTGTCTAAGGAGAGTAACGCAGTTGAACCAACGAATATGGGGCAAGATTTCGTCTCGGTTCCTAACATTCATTATTGCACTTTCATAGCTGTGCACACTTGCGAGTACGTGAATTTATGACAAGAAGACGCACTATTATTGGTTTAAAGCAATGATAAAATAAAATAACAGAAACAGAAAAAGGACAAAGGAGTTAATAGCGACGCGCACTGTTTGCGTGTCTGACTAGATAACAGTACACTTAAGGCCTTCCCATCGATATTTGCAGCACTGACAATTATTAAAGGACTATGCGCAATTGTTCCTCGCAAGACGCTGATAACGAGCTGAGCAGTAAGGTTGGCTTTTTAATTGTTTACCTCCAATTTAGCCAGCTCTAAATATCGATGGGGCTGCCTTAGCTGGGTATTCGTCGCAAACTGTACGTTTGTTCGTCGCGTAAGTCCGTAATTATACGTCGTCACGATCTAAGGTGTCAAGAGGAGCCGAAGGTCAGATCGATGGGGCAGGCGAGGGTGGGGTGGAGAGGGGGGGGGGCGATCACGACAGCACCGCTAGGAAGGTGGCGTCGGTTCCTCCAAGAACGTAAGTATCGCGGTAGACTGCATCGGGCCGCGATGCTTCGTTGGCTCGAGGTTAAGTAACGGCTCGGTCGGCGCGGACGCGTCGAAAACGCTCGAAAGCAGCGGAGCGCCGAGCAGCAGGCCGTGGACGTAGCAGGCCGCAGAACCTGAAAAAGAAGGCAGAAAGTGGTGAGTGGACGATGGGGCGGCGGCGGCGGCGGCGGCGGCGGCGGCTGCGGCCAAGACCCACCTCACCCGATAAATCCCGCGCCGAGGGACATGACGATCGCCAGCAAAGCTGTGAGCAGCTGGCCTGCGGTGGACACGCTGAGCGCGGCGGCCGGTGCGAGCGAGGCCGGGTCGGACGAGCGGTCGCGCGCGGTCGCGAAGCGGTTCTCGGCCGTGAGCCGCTCGCCGTATTTGTCGAGCAGATCGAGGATGAGGCCGTTGGACCAGCCGAAGCCGAGCTGCACCTCGTACTCGCCACCGCCCCCGTGGCCGCCCGAGACCGTGGCGTCGTACTTCTCGAACATGCTGTTGGTCTCGTTGAAGGCCTTGTAGTTGCTGCGCACCCAGCGCTGGCTGAGCTCGAAGGCGAGCCGCTGCGCCCAGGGGTCCTGGCTTTGGTCCAGCGCCATCACCACGAAGTACTGTAGCGGCGGCCATGCATTCGGATAATCCCACTGCTCGCCCGAATGTTCCAGCGTAGTGGGTATTCCGCCCAAGTTCATCATGATCTGGCTGCGCTCCAAGTACTTGAGGACCTTGGCCACCAACTCTGCGCGGCGATCGGTCTCGTAGCAGCCGGTCCACAGCGGCAGGATGTTGGTCGGGTAGAAGTAGTCGCGCTTCAGGTCGTTGAGCATGTCGTAGTCGAGCCAGGCGCCCACCTCCTCGTGCCAGAGCAGCGCCGTGACGGCCCGGCGCCAGTCGGCCGCGCGCCGCTCGTAGCGCTCGGCCTGGCTGGCGTTGCCAAGCCGCCGGTGGAACTCGGCCAGCAGCACGGCATTGCGGTAGAGCAGCGCGTTCAGATCCACCGGCACGATCGAGCGCGTCTTGAGATTGGTCAGGTTGCCTGCAAGTAGGTCAGAGGCGGTCAGAGGTGGTCAGAGACGGTCGGGGCCGCTCGAAGCGCGCGCCTACCCTTGTTGGTGCCGTCAAGGATGAACCAGCGGCTGGAGAAGTCCCAGCCCGTCTCCGCGGCGGTCTTCAGCTCGGACCAGTACTCGGCCCGCTCGGCAAGCGTGCGGAAGCTCTGGCTGGTCAGGTAGTCCTCGCGGTAGGACTCGGGCCGCGGTCCGAACGAGTTCTCGCCGTAGTGTGCCAACGTGTAGCGCCGGCCGTCCTTCTCGATCTCGACGGTGCGCTCGGTCATCCAGAACTCGAACTCGCGCTCGAGCAGCGCCAGGTTGGCGCGCAGCCAGTCGTAGTCGTGCGTGTGGCGCAGGTACTCGTGCACCATGAGCAGCAGCATCGGCGGCTGCGAGCGCTGCGCGTAGTAGATTCGCCCGCCGTTGGGCACGAAGCCGTAGCGATCGACGATCGACACGAAGTTGTCGAGCATGCCGCGCACCGTAGTGTGCATCTCCGAGTGCAGCAGCCCCTTGACGATCCAGTACGAGTCCCAGTAGTAGAACTCGCGGAAGCGCCCGCCCGGCACGATCACCGGGTGCTCCACGTAGATGATCGAGTAGAGCTGGCTGTTGGCGCGCACCTCGTCCTTCATCTTGCGCCCCAGCAGCTTCCAGATGTGGTTCAAGTCTAGGCCGAACTTGCGCAGCTCGGGGTCGCGCACCTTGCGCAGGAACTTGGGCTCGGCCACCCAGTCGGGCGGGTCGAAGCTCAGGAACTCCGAGCCCGCCGGCTCGAAACTCTCGTTCAGGAAGCGCTCGATCTGGCCGCGCGTCGGCGCGCCGCCGCTGCGCTGCATCAGCTCGTCGAAGAGCTGCAGTGTCAGCGCGCTCTCCTGGCGCATCTTCATGTCCACGAAAGTCTTCGAGTCCGGGTAGATAGAGGCCATCTGCACCGTGTGCAATAGCTCCCCGTGGCAGTACACCTCGCTGCAACAGTCGCCGGTGACCGCGCGGCGGCGGTCGTTCGGTCAGTAACGCGTCCCAGCCCTTCTGCCCTCCCTCCCTCCCTCCTCCTTTTGGGCCCTTCCAAGCGGGCTTCCGACTTCTCCTCGACTCTGCTCGACTTTACGGCTGACCGACTCGAAAGACTCGAACAGTGGCCGACGATTAAGCGGTGAAACATTACACAGCTGAACATAACCGCAGCTGAAATCGTGCTTCGCATAAGCTACTCGTGCAAGCCGCGATCGCTCTTCCCCGTTTTCACGAATGACAGCAAACGCTTCTCGATCCGACAGCTCGATTCAACTATAGCCAAAAGTTGAAACTATCGTAGGTAACACCGGAACTTTGTTTAGACTGCCAGCGGACACGGGTTACAAAGTTCGAATACTTGTACGGGTTGGCGCGCAGCGACCTCGCTTGTTATTCAATTTTGTAAAGCCAGATTTGCCGTGATTTCAGGTTGCGTAGTAGCGCAATAAGCGCGAGTAAACAATGCGAAAACTGCCTGAAGAGTTCTTTGATGAGAGCCGCTTTTGTTATCAAAAAATAATGAAAACAATGCATGCAGCTAAAGTCGTCATTTCATGCTGTTGAAGAAAAAGAAACGTAGTCATCGAATTTTAGTACTATTGTATTTTTCGTTTTTTTTTTTTTCATGCTTAATGCACTAGTCGGCCAAGGGGATAAGACCAAAGATTCTGAGAGCTCTTTAAATGAAAACATCGAGCTGTTAAATTTTGCTGCATACTTATTTACAGAACGGAGCTTCTCAATGGAAAAACTAATTTTTGCAGTGCAATCCGATGCGAGTGTGCTGAATAAGGACAAGCGCGATGTCGTTAGTTTTGGAAAATGTACGAAGAAGAGATAAGTCGAGCGCTAACGCGCGTAAGATGCAACAAGTGTCATCGAGTAAGCCTCGTTGAAGTTTTAGAGCTTTAGCGAGGAGTTTGGCGGCACAAAGGGCGCGAACGCGACTTCCCGTGGCACGTGCGCCACGCGCGGGAGGAGCACGGCGAAAGAGAGAGAGAGGGAGCGAGGTCGACCGGACTGCTGAACGCTGCTCCGGCCGAAAGAAGCAGCAGCGCGCTAATCAAGAGCAAGTGGTGTAACGCCAGCGACTGTGACTTTGCACAGAGTGACAGACAGAGGATGAGCAAGCGAGCGCGCCATGGAAAAGATCAGAGATGGAGCGAAGAGAATCGTTCTGGCGATGAGGTGTCATGTGGCCAGAGCAAATAGCAGTGGGTTTTCGTACAACGAGGTCTCCGCGTGCATGTAGAGCGCAGGCTGGTCGAGCGAGCCGAGGAGCGTGACGGCAGAGCTGTAATGCAATCAAGGAGACGGACGCCCCTTCCGTCGAGTTGGAGCCGAGGAGGTAGGTCGAGCGTCAGGTAGACAGAAAGAGAGCGTGTGGGACTCACCTGGGGCAGGGGTACGGTTTGTCGGAGGCGCCTCTGGAGATGGGTGCGAGCCGCTGGTGCTCGGCGCCGCAGCCCGCCAGCGCCAGCAGCCAGACTAGACTGCACCAGCTCCACTGCATTTTCGCCGGACGATCGTCGGTCCGCCCTTCTTATCTCTCTCTCTCTCGCTCACGCTCGCGTGCGCGCGCGCTCTCTCTCCCGCTCTCTCTCTCTTTCTCGGCTGCTCTCTCGAGCGAGCAGGCTAGCTGCGCCGCCGGCAAGTCTTACTTGTTGCTCAGCGGCTTCGGCTGCGGGCCCGGGCTTCTTCCAAGTCTTCGCTGTTGCCGGGCTCTCAGCTGCAGGCCCAGTAGACTCGCATCCTCCCTGAAACAAGCAACCATCGCCACCACCATTGTTATTCGTCCTTGCCAGATCACTCGGAGCGGCTGCGAGCCAGCGCTTTGACATTCACGATTCGGTGAGCGCGCGCGCTTTCGCCAGAGTGCCGCCGCGGCCCGGCGCTCGAGGTAAACCGATCTCTCCCGCAGCCTCGATCCGCCAGCTGTCCGTTTTACAAAAAGCACTGCTCGTCGAACGCGACCGCGTCCCGGCACTGCCAACGATCGCCGCGGAACCGGCCTACTCACGAGCCGGTCAACGATCCTGTTGACTTCGGCCTCGCGCGACAGCCGACAGCCCAACTATCGTAAGGAAGTCCAGGCCTCTTGGACGGACGGCTAGATACACAAGGCTCATTTCAAAGTAAGTAATTTTTTTTCGACTGACTTTCGACAGGAAAATACGATCCGCTATCTTAATTCATTCTCTCATTTAGGTTTATTCAATTGTGCAGTCAGTCGGCAATCTCTCATTAATATTCAACTTTGCAATTATCCATACGCAAAAATGCCATTTTACAGCTTCTTTGCTTTAATGCAGCCTGGGCTCGCAAGTTGCTCGTTGGCTGATACGAAGGTGCGGCATACATCTCCAGCGCTGCTGAGAAGAGTTCAGGGTCTCAGCGCCCATTCGCTGAACTTCCGCGTGTCGGCGTCAGTCGGAATCATCTCAGCTGCATTTTAATCTAATAATGAATATCAATGGCATCCTGCGCGAAGTTCTTTTTTGAGGGACCTTTGCGTTCTGACCGCGCGTATACCTTCCGAAAGAAACATTTACCCTTTTATACTACGCATGGCAGATATTCACCATGACAAAGTGATCGACACTTCGCAAGGAAATTTTTTGAAGCTTTTGCATATTTCCAGCTCGACTTAACGATTTATAGATAAATCTATACTTAAAGAATTAGAGAGAAAATATGGTGAAACAGCAAGATTGGGCGTGGCCTGTACGCAGACCGAAAGCTTGCCGATGTCTTTATTAAAGCCATTGAAACAATAAGGTTCGCCGTACAATGAATGGCGATACAAAAAAAGTAAAAACAGTATGTTCGTTCAATCGCTTTGTTCTCTTACGCTTCGTCGATTTGCGCCAGTTTTGTCTGTCGGAAAAGAACTTAGGCAAGATATCACAGTCAGTTCATCATTTGGGCAATACCACACGTGGCACACCGCATAGCTCCTACCTAGTGATTCAGAACATTACGTAGTCTAACATAAAGGTAATAAGAGGATTGGTTGGCATGAATGGTCGACTGAGTCAGTATTGTATTTTGAGCAAAAAACCCCAACGTTTTGTCGTATGCCTGCCCCATTTTTAGATGCATACTCGTTGACGCGTTTAACGAATTGATTTTCCGACTACAACTGTGTCGAATGCAGCTTGCTTTATCTTGCTCATCGGTGTAAATACGATTAACGCGCGACTTTATTGCGAGCTATTTAAAAGATTATTTTATAAGCAGATTCTTGGACGCGCGAACGAACGAAGCCGTTGGTCGGTTATTTTCATAAACGGTGTAGTAGTGTTCGTCGGTGACGATCATAGGAATGCTTTTCAAAGTAACAATTAAAAAATGTGTGTCACCTGAAGCTAGCACAGAGCGAGCAATTCCAGCGAAAAAGATAATGGATAATTAACCAAGCAGCAGCAGCAGCAGCAGCAGCATCAACAGCAGCGGACTCGCCGCGCGAGATAGTTATCGCACTGGCGCTCGAGGTTCCGAAGGCAATCAAACGATACGGTATGAGGCGTTAAAGTTCGACGAGCCAAAGCTTGTTCCTCCCCGTTGAACGTCTTCTCTGAGTTATCCAATTACGAGGGACACGCGGCAGCGGTCAGCGGATGATTCGAGAAACGCTTACTCAAGTGAGCAGCTCGAATAATCAGTTGGTCCTGGTTACCAGCTGGGTGCAATTATTCGCGCGCCAGCGCGTACCTCTCCGCGACGAGCAGGATGCGCGTGATCGCGACCGTTCCAAGTGCAGGTACGCGATCGCGTCGAGCGCAAACAGACCCATCGATGGCCCTCGCTCCGGCCCGTCGGAGCAGAAGCGACCGCGACGAGCGGAGATCGACCAGGCGAGATTAGCAGCGGCGCGGCCGACTCCCGTCGGCTTGCGAGACGAACTTCGCGGCGAGACGTGACTTGGGCCGGTAGGCCGAGAGGCGCTCGCGCACGGCCATGACGAGGCCGCAAAGCTCGGCGAGTAGGTCGCCAGCCCGGGCAGAAGGAAGGTACGCCGAGCGGAGTCGCAGCGGCCGCAAGGAAGGAAGACGGAAGCGGTCGGTCAGCCGCGCAGCCCGGCCTTGGGCGGCCGGCCACGAGTGTCGCGATCGCGCGCGTGCGCGCGAGCGAGACAGACGGAGACAGAGAACAAGCTTACCTGCTAGACGAGAGTGCTGCGCTGCGGTGCGCTCGCGCTTGAGGATGGAACTGGCGGGCGCTGCTCGCGGCGCTCGACTACATGCTTCTGCGCCTCGTCGCGGCCGCACATGCACACTCCGGGCCGCGAGCGCGCGTGGAGGGGGCAGGCGCGCACCTTCGCGCTCGGCTGCCGCGGTGCTCGAACGCGCGGGCCTCGCTCGAGCGCCGTCCGCGCCCTTCGCCCGCTCGGTTCTGGCCGACTGCGCTCTCGGTTGCGCGAGTAGCTGCGTGCCAGGGCGACGGCTACGGGCGCGCTGCGGACCCCGGACCCGCACGCTCACCGGACGCTGGCCCCGCTCTAGCGGGCGTACCCGACAGTTGGCAACGGGAGAATCGGTGGGTTCGACTTGGTAGCAAGCCACCGACGTGCTGCGCGGTTACATCGCCATTTTTTCCCGCTTCGATTAAGCCTTTGCGCGCAGATTTTCGGGTCGCAGCTTAGCAACAGCCACGCAATCATTGTTTAAGAGAAATGCCCAGTCATCGATCGCAATGGCAAGACTGATTGTTCACGGCGACGAAAATATTGCCGTGGGTGTTTTATTCCGAGAAAGTGTGCAGGGCGAAGGGATGCAAAGCGACGACCCGATCACGGGCCGCGTGCAGGAAGGCACGGCCGATCAGACGTGCGATGGGCAGCAAATAACGAAGGTACGTTGATTTCCCGAAGGTAGCGACAAAGACGTCTGGGCGGCTTCTCGGCTGCTCGCGACGCGCCGAACGGAGCGAGGTTGCGAGCACCAGTGCAACAGCGTCGTCGTTTATTTAGGGCCAGGCCTTTCGTTCGCTGCTCTTGCGATCGCCGAAAACTGAGCGAGAAGCTCGCAGTGCAGCCATTCTGCGACGGCTCCGTTGATTGGCCAACGTTCGTCACAAAAAGAGGCAGACAGGCAAGCCTCGCTCTACACTCCGAGACCGTATCTCTGCAATGGCGTAGTTTGGGAGCTGCCGCGAGCTCCGGGGATCGGCCTTGCCACAGATTATCTGTCAACAGGCTCCGACGTACGCGATTGTTGCACGGCAACGCGCGCACAAGACTCGACTGTATACCTAAGTTCGGTCGTATTGGCACGAGTATACATATGTTGCGGAAGAGGAGATCCGGCGAGTCGAGTAACTGCAAATTGGGCTGCTTCCACTGACTGGCAATCGCCGAGGAGGAAGTGACATTGCAGAAGATGGCTCGGGGCTCGGGCGCGATCTGGATCGGGAGGCCTGGCCGCGCGGCGTAGAAGCTTGATGAGATTCCGAACGGCAGTTGCTGCGTTGGTGACGCCGTTGCTCGGCGAGTTACGTCAGTCGAAGGCGCGCCGCGACCGAGTCGAGCCTCCGCGAGAGCCGGCCTGCCATTGGCCCACGGCTCGATGGTGCCCCAGCACGCATGCCAACGCAGCTGCGCTCTCGCTTTCCACTCGGCTGTGTCCTGCGCTGCCGATCGCGCGCCCGCGCCGAGCCCGAGGCCCCAGCCTCGCCGCTCGCTTCTCCCGTCAATCTCGTCGCGATGTTGCGTCATCTCGAATCCTCTCAATCCTCGCTCCCCTTCTCGCCGCGCTCAGCAGCCGCGCTGCCGCCGGCGCGTTTCGCTCTTTCGCCTTCCGAAGTCCCGTGGCAGGCAATCCAAGTCAGCAAGCTGCAATCGGTATGCTCTTGCGATTCGCCACCACTTGCACCGTATCGATCCCGCTTGCGATCGATCAACCGATGGATTTGTTACCTCGTGCCATATTCCTCAAAATTAAAGCTGCTATTCCGATCTCCGTCTACCGAACTCTAGTCATTGAACTTTCTGTTCGTGCTTCTAGACTGTTTTTTATCCGGTGACCAAATATTTACTAGTGACGACGTACAATTATGATATTTCTTTCACTGCTTTCGTCTTTTCGACTGACTTGTTTACAATAACCCAATCAACGTTTCTTTGCGTATTTCATCATCACTTTTACAATAGGCACCGAAATGAATTGTCGTTCAACTGTACGTGACATAAAAAATCTTAACGCAATTAAGACTACAAAGCGTCAATTTCGACATTTACAGGATGCATCGAAACGATCATCTTTTTCAAATGTGCGCTTCGTAGTCACGATTCCAATGAAAATTTCTATTGCATATAGCTAAAAAAGAGATTTGAAAACAGTGCCCAATGTACTACAACCTATTCGCATGTCAAATTGACCTTCTTTCTAAGGTGCGTGGAGGAGAAAGGTTGCACTCACTCTACAAGGATCGCGAATATTTTTATAAATTCAAATGTCTTACTTTATCGCCTTAACGGCAATCCCTCTATACTTCAAACTTATTTTGACGAAAAAATATGTCTTAAAACCATTATAGATAAAATCATTCATAACTCAAGTTTTACGCGATCGAAATCATCGTGCAATAGCTCACTCTATTTGTTTTTACAGAGTGAATTTTACAGAAGCAAAGACTGGAAAAAGCAGTAATATGATTTTAACTAGTCATTCAAAATTTTTAAAAGTGTAATTTTTTCAGTGATTTAAATTTGAGTTTTCAAATTATTTTCGTTGTTACGTATAAATTTTGTATAATA